CTTTCTGAATCATGGCCAGGGCCTTGAGACATTTGAAATGGCTTGCTGACTCACTCCCAACGATTCGACAAGCTGTTCTTGGATTTGGCAGGAATCTTCAGCAAGCAATGCTTCTATTGTAGTTGTTCATCTTTGAAGGTTTTTTCTCTTCTACCACCATGTTTATCTTCGACATCTAAATCACCTTTTTTAAAACGTTGAAACCACTCCCGACACGTTCTTTCACTCAGAGCAGCATCACCGTAAGTTTCAGAGAGCATTCGATGCGCTTCAGCTGCATTTTTTTGGAATTGTAACAGAAAAGTAAAACTTTTTCAAACTATTTCAACCAGCCTCAGCCGGTTATATAAAATTTTTTTAAATATATTAAATTCTGGAAACCAGAAAAAAATATTAAAAATAAAATAAAAATTAACTTTGCTTCCTACCAAAATAAAAATCCACTCCACCATCACCCAATTGTTTGAAGCTATTTCCCAAAATCTCGCACGTCATCGTAAAAACGTTTAACATTAAACGCCTCGTTTCCGACTGTGCCAAATGGCAGAGCCCACAAGCCGCCTCAACGCTAGCAAAACCAGTAAAAGCCGCTAAGTGAGACGCAAACATTTCGTTGGACGGTCAAGCGTATATAAATTATTAGTATCGTTAGTATTATTATGAAACTGGTCAACGAAACGGCACTGCTTGTGAACAAGTGGGCTTATGTGAAGCAGACGGTTGCCCGAAAAAAGAAAAATGATAAATAAAAAATAAAAAAAATAAAAAATAAAAAAAAAAACAAATAAAATTAAAGTCACCGGCGAACCAGCCAAGCGGCTGTTCATTACGGCCAAACGCGACTCATTATCAGCGTTGATATGTTTGTGCGCCGTTGCGTAGCTTCGCTGTGCTAAATGAGCACCGAAAACGAGATCTTTCACGTTTATGAAAGCTTTGTGTGCAGCACTACGATGCTGACTGGTAGGTAGCAGACGAAAACGTGCTGAGTGTTGGTCAACTGTTTAACGATTTTTAGCAATAACTACTAAATAAGCGTTTTTGCTTCACTTGCCTATATATGTGTGTATGTCTGTACATATAATACATGTTTCCCTATATTGCGTAATTATAATTTTTGTCAAACAAAAATATTTATTGATTAAACGGAATTACATGGGATTTTTATATTATGGCCATGTCTTTGTTTGGGCAACAGATTGAGAGGAAAAAAAATATATATAAATGAAATTATTGGAGAAATTAAAAAAAAATTAATAGTAAAATCGCGATATTGGTTACAAGGTAATGCATTTTTGGATGACTCAATATTGAAATGTCATTAATTTTGACGCGACTCCAATACAGTCTGAAAGCTCGTAGTCACCTAAAGGTGTTTAAAATTTTTTTGTTTAAGATTTTTATTTCGTTATTTACTCAACCTTCTGATAGACACAAATTATTTAAGCACAAAAAAAAAAAATAGATAAAAAAATCAAAAATAATATACAAAAAAACGAGAAACAAGATTTAAATTAAAAAAGTTATACAAAATAATTACAGCCAAATTAAATTAATTTATTAAATTAAACTACATTAAATTAAATTAAATTATTTATTTATTAAACGTGGGGGTTTTCGAAACCAAAACTGTTGTTGTGATTTTTTCACTATTACAAAAACATATGTATATATATGGCCTGAGGCAAATCCATAAAACTAAAAACCAAAAATAAAATATGTTAAATTATAATAAAAACAAAAAATAAATAAAATAATATAAAATAAAATAAGGTGGTGTTGGCTACCGATTTATCGTATCTGATCCACTTAGACCTGACTAAAACCCATTGTGATGCTACAAGAACTTGAACATAACTCTTCATTATCCTGCCATTTTCATTCTATAATGAATCTCATTATATTCACGACTTCGTTTAGACAGCAGTAGTGTCCGAAAATACCAAAACCTAGTCCTTATAAAAACACGACAGTCGCATGAGAGATAGCTGATCGTTTCCTTCTCCCCATCCTCCTTGCGGTCTATCCGCTTGTCGTCCTATCAGAAAGTTACCTACTATTACTTTGAACATGTGACCTCTATTTTAGGAGTATTGTACATATCTTGTGACCTCTTTTTAAGCCATTTCGGCCTGCTGTGCTTGGATTTTCAGCAGGTTGTAGTATCATTCTAACTTTTCGCGAATTCGTCATATGTAAACCAATGCATTATTTTTCGAGAATAATCTGCTTGGACGTTACTTGCCTAGCAAGTTCATCCACCTTCATTCTTCGCTGTCCCTGTGAACCTGGAACCCTTGTGAGAGAAAGCCTGTTCTGTTTGGCCATCACCTGTAGAGAGTAGAGATCGTCGGCAGTACAACACTAATTTTTGAATACGTTGTAAGTGATTGCTGCCTGACTGCCGCTGAAAATAATGGTATTCCTACCTTGAAAGCTGGCTCCTATTTGAATTTTTAGCTTTTTCCGACTGGAAAGTATGGCGATGATCAAGTAGCATGAAAGAGAGTTCTATCGGAGGGTTTCCTGAGAGGTCAACTCCGCCAACTCTGCCCTCAAGTTTTGCTCTTTGCCTGTATAGAGGGAAATAGCCGCCTCTTCTTTGCTTTTTATTATATTAGTTTTCCATTTTAGCTACTTGTCTAAGATGACTGCTTGAAACTTGGCTTTTGCTCCTAGACTCAGTTGAAGGCCAGCCGGTACTGATGAGTAGATAGCGTGAATCTTGCATTTGGATGTAAATCGCACGAGTTTTACTTTATTTGAGTTGACACAGAGGCTACACCTCTCTCAGTATTCCCTGCAATCATAGTCAGGGGGTTTGTCGAAACTTGTAACTATGTGCAATGGCGATTTCACCATCGTAGGCAATAGCTTTGCCTCTACCCCATTCCGTTTACGTTAATAGTGAGTTTACTGTGAGGTTTCAGTACAATAGGAGAGGACTCTACCCTGCGGAGAGCTTCTGCCTACATATTTAGATAATTGATATCCTGCGAGGCAGGCCCGAGCCAGCGGAGACATTCTGCTACGACGCGCTAGAGACTGTCGAGGTTATCGTAGAGCTCGTACAGTTGTAGAATCATCTTCTATACGAACGCTTGAGGTTTCAAGTGGTCCGTTTCTACCATGACAAAACTGGTAGAGTCGTTGAATGTCATTTTACATAGCCGAACTCATACATTATGAAATGCAGGTGATTCCTTAATGAACTATGCAAGGCAGTGCATTGGCCTTTCCTAGATTTGGCATAATATGAAAAATCTTGCCATTGAGGGACTTACCAGAATTAAGGCAAACGCCAACTAGCATGATGGCAAATAGTTCTTATTTTTCGTATAATATCTTCAGCACGACCTTATATGAGATAGCAGTAGGATTGATTCCTCAAGGAGCAGATCATCGATTAACTTTTCTAGGATACAGAACATAGGGATACTGAAGATTCCAATTATCGTGCATGCTTTCCGCTAGCAGCTGAAGCTCGTCACCTCCAACCATGAACGACTCCATAGGCAGTCCTTCAGCCGTAGCCTAACTGCTCGAACTTCGTCATTGTTAGCTGATGGTATGTCTGTAGCATCGCAACCTCCAGTGGTGGAATTGATCAAGTCTTCGCCTGAACGCAGTCTGAAGAAAGACTCCCACCAAAATCTTCGTGTGCACTGAGTATCTACAACTAGACTATAATTTTCGTCTTGACAGTTTATTGCCTAGTAATTGTTTCGCTTATATCATCAAGGGGGAGTTAGAGCAATGCCGAGAGGAAATCAGTTGGATTTGGCTGTCTATTGTGCTTCCAGCTTAGTAACATTGCGCAATGGAGCGTGATGGTAACAAATAATCCGTATATGGTTATGACATCGAAAGAAATTTCCAATCTTCGCTATAGAAGCGTATAGGAGATCCAGAAGAAAATACAATAATTTTGTTTCAAAATTCTTAGTTTATGGGCTCGATACTGTACTGTGTGTAATACAGAAGTGGTTTGCTAGGTTCCATTCCGGTAGTTTCGATGTCAAAGACGCACCCAGCGCCGGAAGGCCTGTCGTCGAAAATTGCGATAAAACCATGGAAATAGTGGAAACAGACCGTCAAGTGAGCACTTATTTAATTGCTGAGGAACTAAAGCTACGCCAGAAAACCGTAAGGAACCATTTGCATAACCTTTGATTCTAAAAGAAGCTCGAAGCTTAGGTGCCACACGATCTAAAGCAAAAAAACATGATGGACTGAATTTCCATCTGCGAATCACTGCTGAATCGCAACAAATCCGACCCGTTTCTGAAGCGGACTGGCGACGAAAAATGAGTCACTTAAGATAATATCGAGGGCAAACGGTCGTGGTCAAAGCTAGGAGAAGCGGCCCAGATGGTGGCCAGGACCTGATGGACGGCCAGGAAGGTTTTGCTGTGTATTTGGTGGGATTGACAAGGAAAAATCTACTAGGCGCTGCTCCTCTATGGCCAAACACTCAATTCGGCCTTCTACTGTCAACAAATGGAGGCCATCTTCGATTAACACAGGCCGAATTGTGTTCCACCAGGACAACGCCAAGCCACAAACCTCTTTGATGAATGGGAGGTCCTAATGCACCCACCTTATAGTCCGGACCCGGCACCAAGTGATTACTATCTTTTCCGGTTCATGGCGAACGCGCTTAATGGCGAGAAGTTGGTCTCAAGAGAGGTCTGTGAAAATTAACTCTCCGAGCTTTTTACCAAAAGGGACGCAGCCTTCTATGAGAGGGGTGTAATGAAGTTAGCATGTAATTGGCAACAATATTACGAACAAAGCGGCGCATATTTGACTTAATCGGACAAATGTACGCAAAGTTATCATGTTTTAAAATAAATCAATAAAAAAAACGAATGAACTTTTTACTTGACCTAATATCATCTTTACTTTCTTTGAACCAATTCTTAGCTTAAGTTTTTCTTATCACCTTTGCTCATATTTGGATTCACCTGCTACTCATGCATTTTTTCTTCACATTCTAGCACATAAGCAGCCTCCTTCCAAAATTTTGGCACATACGTGCATATACAAATGTATATATGCTTTTCCTGCCTTCAAAATCACAACCAACTAGCACTCAAAGCCTTGCCATGATAAACGACTGAACGAAAGAATGATTGCAACAAGAGTGTCTTGGCATGGCCGAAAAGAGCTACGAGTATTGCCAGTAGATGCTGTTGCAATAATGAAAACAACCACAACAGAATGTGAAGAGTAATGGGACATGCAACCAGCTGGAGTAGTAGAAACAACAATGTCAGATAAAAAACAAGAAAAAATTTAGTGAAAAAATTGCTTACCATGAAAGTTTTCAAAAAAGAAGAAGACTAAGAAAGTTGCAACAATATTTCAGTGACCTTAAAATGAAAAACAAAAAACATACTGTATATGCTAGTGTGTGAGTGTGTGTGTTCTACGCTTGTTGCATAAGAGGACTCGAGCCGCAAGTGTTCCGGCCATGTTGAGGGTTTTTGGTTTGCTTGTGCTCTTCCACTTCATACACTTCATTCAAATGGATAATTTCTGGCCAACAGCTGTGCTCTACAGTTACTACATACATATTCATTATATATATATATATGTGTTAAATTTATACGCATACCAAATGCAAGTTTGTAAACGCACGGTTTGGTAAATGCAAACAAGTGTGTAAAAGTAGCGGAACATGTAAGAAGAAAAAGAAACACAATGGTAAATAAAACCGTTAAGAGCATGTGGACGTAGAAGAAGGCCATTGACTTTGCTTTTTAACATAGAAAATGAGCGGAACAATGCGTTAGGGTTGTTAGTACATAAATACATATTAACAACACACAAACAGCCTTAATTGAAAACAAAAATTTAAATACACACACATACATGCATGAGCATGTCTAAAAAACACACACAGTTAATATGTAGTAGTGAAGCGCTCACACTCCTGCACAGGCGAGAGACACATGCATTAGTGTTGGTAAATTTAAAAATAAAAATATTAAACAAAACTTGAAAAACAGAAAACTGTTTTACTGGGAAGAGAGTATGTCCTGAGCTGTGGTGAGTTTCTAATGGTAAATAGCTCAATTTTAATAAGAGTGATAGGTAAAAGAGAGGGTAAAAAACAATATTTTACGAAAACAATATTAAAAAAATTGATATATGCAAATAAATTTAAACAAAAAAATAAAAATTAAAATAAATGAAATGAAATTCAAAAAAAAATTAAATTAAATTAAATAAAACAAACTAAAATAAAATAAAAAATAATAAAATAAGAAAACATTAAAAAAGGTAACAATGAAATAAAAATTTAATTATATTAAATAAAAATACATAAAATAAAAAAACTAAGAATATTGGCGTGAACTAAAATAAAACTCAATAAAATCAAGTAAAATAAAATTAAATTAAACACAATTAATTCAATTGAATCAAAAGTGAAATAAATTAAAATAAACTTAATAAAAAAGTAAACAAAATAAAATAAAATAAATAATATAATACAAAATAAAATAAAATAAAATAAAATAAATTAAATTAAAATAAAATAAAATAAAGAAAAAATGAAATAAAAAATATTGAACAATATAGTGTTTTGAAATAGTAAAAATAAAATAAAGCAATAGAATTAAAGAAATAAGATTATATTGGATTGCATTAAACAAATGAGAGAAAATAACGAAAGATCATATAAAATAAGGTAAATATAAACTACGTCAGTGAAAATAAACTAAATCTAATTTATAATAATTAAAATAAAATTGAATTAAAGTAAACTGAATTAAATACAATTAAATAAACTAAAATAAACTAAGCTTAATTAAATTGCAACAAACTAAAATTACATAATGTAAAATAGGACAAAATAAAAGTAGCTAAAATAAAATTAGTAAAAATTTAGTAATAATAAAATATTTTAAATTTTATAAAATAAAATAAAACTAAATTAAATTAAATAAAGTGAATTGAAATAAAATCAAATGAAACAAAATAACATATAATTAAGTATAGTAAAAAATATAAAAATAAAGAAAATTATGTAAAGTAAAAAAAAACAAATCTAAATAAAACACCAAAAAAAAATACATAAAAGAATAAAATATAAAAAATACACAATATTAAAAGTTTTAGTAGTTTCACAGTTATCCGAAAATAACAAAAATTGTTTTAAAGTAGAAAAAATTAATTAATTAATTAAAGCAGCATTCAAAATTAATATAAAATAATATGTTATTATGTAAAATCAATGAATTTAAACAAAACAAAATTTATTAAAAGAAAATTTTTATTTAATTTCATTAATTTAAATTAAGTAAAATGAAATATTACAAACCAGTATAAATTAAATAAAAAAATTAATTTAAATAAAATAAAAGAAAGTAGTATGAAAAGAAAAGAAATATAAAATATATAAAAAATAATAAGGAAGCTAAACGAAAATTTTACCTTTGAAGTGCACCTTCGAATAAAGGCTAAGAGAGAAATTTCAATATGATATCCTGAAAGCTACAAGTGTTATAAGAGCGCAACCAGATAACTAGCGAGAAGACACACGAAAAACGAAATGCTCTCCTTGAGTGAGAGAGAGAGAGAGCAATTGTCAGTTTGGTAGAACCATGCAACATTGTTTTGATTACTTTGCTCCAGTTTCTTTTGTTTGCATTTTATTTTAAAAATTTTTTTGCAAAATTCCAAAAGCAGCCAACTCTGGCGAAAGCACATACATAACAGTAAAATAATTTCACACTAGTTGCTCCGCTGAGAAATTCACCACTCGCAACATACCAAGTACGAATAACATTATGTAGGCGTGAACACACGGACCAACCCATGCAATTATGAGTTCACCACGAACACTGGACTCTCGTCAAATGCCTCGGCGTAAGCTACCAGCCGCAGCTGATTTGGCGATTTTCACACAAAGTATCGGGTTGTTGAGCATTGCGGACGTGTGCTGAACTGAACGCGGGCGTCAATCGGATATAAGAGAGAAAAGAAAATTAAAAAAAAAAAAATATATAGGAAAAAGTCAAATACATAAATATAAAAGAAACAAATCTATGAGTTGAAATGTAAGAAAAAAATTCAAAAGGCAATTTCGGGAAAATAAAACTAAATAACGCGTAGTAAAAATAAATAAATAAATAGTAGAATAAAAATAAAAACAAGCCGTTAATTGCAAACGATTGTGTAAGTAACAAATAGTTTTTTGCGTGAAAACGAAAAAAAAGTAAAACAAAAATAAAGCAAAAACGAAAACGAAAACGAAAACAACCTCTTTATTGCTTTGCTTGGATTTAATTGAATGGAAAAGAAAGAAAGAATTCTTTTCATGCTCTGCGCCAATTGACTGTGTCCACTTTGTTTGTGTGCGTATGTATGTGTGTGCGTGTGTGTGCGTATGTGTGCGTTTGATAGACTGACCGACTGCTAGAACGATTGCTTGACTGCCCGTTTGCGGAGTGCGCGCCACATGCTATTGTAAAATTTCGAGATTTTCATTTAATTTTTCATATTCTTATTGTGCTACAAACCAGTTTGTGTGCTTGTGGCACTACGTGCGTGTGGCAGCCTCATGCTGTGGCAACTTGTGCGCCAAAAAAAAAATCGAACTTTTTTCTTAACTTAAATGTAATCAGTGTGGCGTTTATTTGCTCATCGCCGGCATTTCAAGTGAACTTAAAGCAATTTTCTGTGATGATCTCAGTATTGGAGACTAACTGCTTTGAGCGCATTTAGTGACTTGTGGCAGCAAGATAATGATTGCATGTTGTGATAATAAATGAAAGATTTCAGTTTGGATATATTTTAAACCAGATTCCATTGCAGTGAAAAAAATTTCCAAACTTCATTTTAATAAATTAAGAAGTTTAAGTATTCCGATTATTAAAAATGTTAAAAAATAACAAAAAACAGTTTCAAACAGTCTCCCGAAACCAAAACAGATTTTTATTAACTTTACAGACACTTATGAAGGAAATGGAGGATTTACTTTATTGAAAAATAAAAATTATGAAATTTTGGGGAGACAAATTTTGAAGTATATAAAATTCACACATAAACTCCAAAAGTAATGATAGAAATTTTATCAGCTACTTAATAGTAAGAAAAATGCGTCTTGAGCATCCAAAAGGAATGACTAAAAAAAATTTATTATTTTCTGAATATACATATTTCTGTTCAGTCCTTTTAAAATACACTGCAATTTAAAATTACGTTTTCACAACTTCTTTAAGACAATCTCTAAATATAAGCGCTTAAACCACCCTCGTAAGGGTTTTGTAATGCAAACTAAGTTTAAAAACATTATCACAAAATTATTTTGAATATTTCTAATATATAGAAATTAATATTAAGCCATGATATTCAAATTAAAATTTTTTTCTGCTTGGTATTCTGGGCCAAGGTATATATATTTATTAGCTGAAATTTTTCAATTAAATAAAAAATAAAAAGAAGAACAGATACTGTCTTTAGAGTGTAAAACAGATTTTGAAATAAAATAATTGTACAAATTTTATTTTATGACTAAAAATATTTAAATTAGCTAAGAGCTTATTTCTGACTAAAATAAATTAAAAGTCATCGAGCTACAAAATATTTTTTAAATAAAAGCCACTATTTATTTACTTTGAGCTGTTCCACTGTTTATTTTCTATTTTTTCTTTCATATTAATTTTTTTCCTACTTTTTATTTTAAATTTAGTTTTAATATTTACTTTTATTCTACTTGAATTTTTATTATTGTATTTTTTTTGTACATTCAGCAAGATTTTCTTTGGTTTTATTTCTATTACTATTTGCAATTTCAGTTTTATTTTTATTTTAAAATTTGCTTTTATTTGTACTTTTGCATTTAGATTTATTTTCATTTTAATTTGAGTTTTTCGATCTACATTCATTCATTCCTCATTTTTATTCTGTATTTTCATTTAAATTTTTTTCACTTCTATTTTTAATTTCAGCTTCCTTTTCATTTGTACCTTTTTTCGTTATTTCTGTTCTTCAGTTCATCTAAATTTTTTGTTTTCATATTTACTTTTATTTTTACTTGTATTTCTAATTTTATTATTATTTCATTTGTTCAACTCCAGTTTTATCTGGATTTTTTTATTCTTATTTTTTTACTTTTAATTTTATTTTCTCTTCAATTTTTTGTTTCATCTTTCATGATACTTTTATTTCTATCTTAATTCCTTTTATCTTCGTTCTTACTCTTGTTTTTAATTTCATTTTTTTTTTATTTGTAATATTAGCTTTTGTTATTCTCTTTATTTTTATTTTTATTATTATTACCTTTTTCTTCTTTTAAAATTAATAATTAATCTTTTAATATTAGCTCTTGTTATTCTTTTTTATTTCTATTTTAATTATTTTTTTTCTTCCTATAAAATTAAAAAATTAAATTTTAATATTAGCTTTTGTTATTCACTTTTATTTCTATTGATATTTATTTATTTTTCTTAATTTTTAATTTTTATATATACATACAAGTATTTTATTTTTTATTTCATTTTTCTTTTTACCTAAATTTTTGTTTATTTCCATATCATTTAGTGATTTTTTATTATTTATATTTTATTTTGACAATTTCTTTTGCAGGCTATGAGTTTAACCCGAAATATTTTTAACCTTGAAAGAAAACTTTGGAACTCTCTCTTTAATAAAAAAAAAAGCCAAGAAAATACTTATAATAAATAATAAAATAAAGTAAAAAGAATGAAAAAAACTATGAAAATGTTAGGGGCCATCAGGAGATTCACATAACTATTTTTAATTATTATTTCACAAGATACTTATTAACGGGACAGGCTCAAAAAATAAATAGAATTTTGATTTTGATATTATGTTCTTTCCTCATTAAAGATTATGCTCTTGAGGCTCCGCTTCTTTTAATCCTTAAATCAATTCTCTTAAATTCAATTCCTGAGGCAAATTTTAGTTATTTTGGCGATGTGCTCTTGGTAGCATCTCGATTTGAAAACGTCTTTTCATTTTTGTAAATAGGGAGGGAGGCATCGCAGTCAGTACAGCTTTAACCTTTTTAAAGTTCCTTAAAAAACAGTGAAGTGAAAGAACATGCTTAAAGGTGTTGCAAAAACCATGAACGAAATTCCTTGAACATAGTGAGCATAACCACTTGGCGACGCAGAATACTTGGATTAGTGTCGACGCCTTATAGCGAACCCATCGTCTATTTGTTCTCAAATCACGCAAACGACGAAGAACACAATCGGACGACTATTACATATAGCCACCATATTACCGGTTGGATAAAATAATAAGTTTTGTGTAAAAAATTTCCGCCGCATTTCGGGTCTACAAATCAAAATATTTCCCGAAAATCCTCGATACCAAAGCACGATAACATATAACCACAATACAACCGACTCGTTCAGATATGTTATTTATATAGATTTCATGATGAAATTAAAGGAAAAATTATATTGAAAACAAAAATATAATAACGATTGCACATAGCTAATCTTATAAAAATATTTTTTTCTTATGCTAATCATTAAATTTCTTTAAATTAATCAATATAACTAATTTAAAATATTTCAAAAAATTATATAAATTTTAAATTGGAAATTAATTTTTAATAAAACAAAGCAAATCCTTGATGAGCATATAAACCAAACTTCTACAAGGACAGAATTTATTTGTGAAATTAAAAAAAAGTAGTTTTTAACTTTTATTACTATATTTCTATATCTACATTTCTGTTCATTTTATTTCTGCGAAATTTCTTTCTTTAATCGTAACAAACTTAATAAAACTGCAAAACATTATTTGTAAAATAATTGTATAATTGATGTAATGCTGAAAAATTTGGCAACTTCTGGTTTGAAAAAAGTAAAAATATCTCACTCCCTTTATTTCTGCCCAACCCTTAACTTATATTTCGTAATCTCTATAAGCATTTTCACACCTCACAAACACTTACCCATATTTCATGCTCTCCACTGGACTTTACCACACACACCCATTCCAGCAAGCCAAAAATAAATAAAACTACATAATAATAATTAAAATAAAATGTAGTACGTAATGTAAACAAAAATAACATAAAAACAAAACAAAAATCCATTAAAGTCACGTAAAAAAGCGCGTGAAACAGCAGCGACGGCTCTAAATTAATGAATGTATCAACACCCACACACATACATTTTTACTACGTATGCACTCACATGTAAATTTCTATAAATCTCAAGCACATAACGGTAAACAATATCAATGGCTGGTGCTCTAAACGTATATAGCACGTTGACTTCGCCTGCGTGTGGAAGCCAGTGCGGTTTATTCCCCTCATTATATTAACATATTGATAATTTTTTTTATTACTGGAACTTTGTTGTTGCATACACGCAGTTGTGTATAGACTCGTGTGTCACTCAACTGTCGTTCAAATATGCATACAAGTGCTCATGTCCTCAAAGCACTTTTCTCCAATATTTCTTGTAGATATAATATATACTTGCATACTTAGAGAGTGGTGGTGGGCAGTGCGTATAAGTAACTTGTTGATATGCCATTAAATATGAGTGGGTCTGTGGGAGTTTTGCTTGCGTGAGTTAGCTTATTCTGCTGAGTAAATGAAATAAAATAAAATCAAATAAGATTAAAAAAATATAGAAAATTATAAAAAAATTATATAAAAGCAAATAAAAACAAAAAAATTAAATTCAACCAAATTAAGCTAAAATAATTTAAAATAAAATAATACAAAACAAAATAAAATAACTTAAATAAATAAAATAAAATGATAATTTCAAATAAAAAAAATGAATTGAAATAAATAAAATAAAATAGAAGTTAAAATAAAATAAAATGAATTGAAGATATTATATAATAAATAGCACTAAATTAATAAAGTAAACTAAAGGAAAGGAAAAGAAAAAAAAAGAAAAATAAAATGAGATAGAAAATATGAACGGAAATAAAAAATTAAAATTTATAAATTGAAATAAAGTAAAATAACATTGGAAACAAAATAAAAAGGAATAACATAAAAAAATTAAAAAAAGATATAATAAAATAAAATAATAAAATAAAATAAATTAAAATACAATAAAATTAAATTAAATTAACTTAAATTAAATTAAACGAAATAAAATAAAATTTAATTATTTAAAATAAATTCAAATAACGTGAAATAAAATAAAATTAAATAAAATAAAATAAATAGAAAAAAATAATATTGAAAATATAAAACAAAAAAATTAAAATAAAATAAAGTAATTAAATTAAATTAATTTAAATTAAATAGAAAAAATAAAATTAAATTAAAATAAATGGATATAACAAAATAAGAAATAATTGAAGCGAAATGATATAAAGTATTAAAAAATAAAATAAAATGAATTAAAATAGAATCAAAATAAGATAAATTAAATTAAATAATATAAAATAAAAGATAATATAATAATGATTATTAAAAGAAAATATAAGACAATTAAGTAAAATAAAAAAATTAAATAAAATACAACAAAAAATTTAAATAAAATAAATTAAAAAATTAAATATAACATAATTGTAAAATAAGATATAACAACAAAAAAATATATTATTTATAATAAAGTAAATAAAAAACTAAACTGAAATAAAATAAATGTCAAAGAAGTAAAAAAAATTAAAATAGAATAAAATATAATAAATTGAAATCAAATAAAATAAAATAACGCAAAAAAATGGATATAAAAAAGTAATTAATTGTATATAAAATAAAAAAATAAATGAAAAAGTGGAAAAATATTACGAATTTGAAGCAAAAGAAATGCAATTAAATAACTGGAAAATTTTGAACATAAAATTTTGTCGGAAACTTATATGTATACAAAGTTAAACTATGTTAACATATGGTTTTTATTTATTTATATAACAAATTCGATTACTCATTTCACTCATCATAAATCCCTTTTAATTCCAGCACAGATTATTTGGACCCAGCCAGCCGTGCGCATTGTGTGAGAAAAATATAGCAAAAAGAGCGACGACCTATTAGATTAAACATAAAAATATAAAAATTTTCTTATTAAAATACCGAAATACAGGTGTGCAATATTCATTATAGTTCGTGAAAACTTTCAAAACTAAACATTAAGCATGCATGTGGTGTGCAATTTCACATATAATAGCTATTAGTGTAGTTGTTTATAATTAAAATACAAACGTATAAACATCTATCAACATTACTTAAAAGTGTGAATAGTGCGAAATTAAAAAAAAAAAAAAACATAAAAATTCATTTCACAGTAAATTTGAAAAAAAAAAAATAAATAATATTTTAGCAAAAACAAATTAAAAATTTCACGTATATTTATTTTGCATAAAAAATTTTGAAATAATATTAATTAAATAAATAATAAAATATGCCAAAGTAATTAATGTAATATATGTGTATGCACGAATGTGCCATAAAAAAGGCCGTTGGGTGTTTGTGAAAAGCTTGGTAAGCAAAAGCGAAGGGAAATTGTGCAAAAAAAAATTGTGGATTGACGAGAAAAAAATTCTAAAAGCAAAAAAGAATGAAAATAAATGCGAAAAAATCGATTGGGTGGAAAACGAATTGAACAAATTGCAGCTGTTGGCATTTAGAGGAAAATAAAAATAATTGCGTTTAACTGAAAAAAAAAACATATATAACTGTAACTTATTAAGTTTTAAAATTAAAATAAAAAGTACGAAAGTACGAAAAAAAAGAAAAGTACGAATCCATTAGTATTACTTACATTTAAAAAGTCATATGCATATTAAGTATAATAAAAATTATTATTATTATCTGGGTGTAAAATAATTATAAAACTCAATATTAAAATATTAAACCATAGTAAAAAAAAAAGAAATAAGAAATAAATAACCGAAAAATCTCAGTGTAATTAAACCAATTTATTGAATGCGGTAAAAGTCTTACAAAAAGCCATATAAAATATAAGCGCACGTTTTTCAATTGAAATGAAAAATTAAACCTAGTCGAAAAATCAATTTAAATGGCATTTTTTCTCTGAAATTCAATTAAGTGTAAAAAGAGATTGTTAAAAAAAAAAATAAAATTAAAAAAATATAAAAATAATAGCATAAGCAGTGAAATTATATAAAACTCTCAATACTCTTGATAAAGCACTCAAGTTTACATTTTCAAAATGTCTGAGACACAAGACAACAATGGCGATCAACAGCAGCCGCTGCAGGATGAAGCTGGTGGCAGTGAGAATAAAATGAAATCACGCCTACGTAAGGGCGCTTTAAAAAAGAAAAATGTATTTGCGGTGAAGGATCATTGCTTCATACCACGTTTCTTCAAGCAGCCAACATTCTGTTCGCATTGCAAGGATTTCATATGGTAAGCTAAAGAAATAAAAAATTATAATTATTAACTAATTTTCTAAGAAAATATTTGCTCATATTAAACCAAGAATTAAAAGATATGAAGTATTAATAAGAACAAAATTACGCACATGAAAGTTCATCATGCGTCATGTACACCCCAAGGACAAGAAAAAATATACTTTTTTAAATTGTAGTCACTAGCGCTTCATCAATGACCAAAGTAAATAATCAATAAAAACATGAAAACTATTATAAATTTAAAGAGCAAATTCCATTTAATATTTGTATGTCCTGAGTACTTGTTGTTATGGGGTCTTATATGCACCTAAAACCGGTTTATGACAAAATCAGAAAACCCACAATCGCTTAGCATGTCCTCAATATGACTAATGGAATTTTATATTCTATATGTTAGTCAACACTTCCTATAATTTACGGAAATTTATCATGCATTTTAAAATACCATGAATAAATAGGATTTTAAAAAATAAAAACTGTCCACCCAGTACAAAATAAACGCCCAAAAAGACATGAAACCAGCAACAAAGAAGGGTTTGGTTGAATTTGAAAGTAAATATTGTGTTAATGGGCGTTCTTTCAGCAAATGCCAAAGACACAACTAGCTTGCCACTTGGCAATGAATTACAGCAATATGACTGCTTTACGTGGGGGAGAAGTAAAAATCGATGCCTACAAGTATGTAACAGTGCTTTGCAAAAAAGAAAATAAAGAAATAAAATAAACGCAAATAAATGAAAATAAAACAAAATAAACTATAAAAATGTATAGCCAAATAAAATAAAATAAAAAAAATAAAATAAAACAAATTAATATGAAATAAAATAAAATAAAATTAAATTAAATAAAATAAAACAAAATAAAATAAAATAAATTTAAACAAAATAGAATAAAATAAAATAAAATAAAATAAAATAAAATAAAATAAAATAAAATAAAATAAAATAAAATAAAATAAAATTAAATTAAATTAAATTAAGTTAAATTAAATAAAATAAAGTAAAATAAAAAAAAGAATAAAATGAAATAAAATAAAATAAAGTAAAACAAAATAAAATTAAATAATATTAAATAAAAAAAATAAAATAAAATGATTCGAAAAAAAATAAAAAAAATAAAGAAAAAAACAACTAAAATAAAATAAAAAATACAAAAAATAGAAAATAAACTAAAATAAGTAACAATAAAGTTAAACTAAATTAAATGTAACAAAATAAAGTATTAAAAATAAAATATGAAATAAAAATACAAAAATTAAATTAAACTATATTTAACCAAGTGAATTGAATTAAAATAAATGAAACAAGATAAAATATATAAAAAGAAAAGAAATTTATATGAATTTAAATAAATTAAACTAATTTAAACTAATATATTTAAATTTTATAAAAATAAACAAAACTAAAGAAAGGATAAAAACAAAGAAAACAAAGTAAAATAAAAAATTTAAGCACAAATAAAGTAAAAAAGTAAAATGGACAGAGTAAAATAAAATAAAAATAATGCGAAATTTATATAAATAAATGAATTAAATTGGAATTTAAGAACAAGGTGAATAACAGTAAATACAGTGCATAAAACAGCATTTTTATTGGAAGACAATTTTCGTGCAGCCGGTCTCCAACCCTTACCCATAAGCATGGATGGGTTTGTTCTTACATTTTAGCTTCCCATCAAATTAATAGTCGTTGACTATTTGGAGAATTTTTGATCTGAGCTCAGAAGTGGTTTTAGTCATATATAAAAAGGTTTCACGTCTACGTGTACTGCTATGCTTCTGGCATCTGCGGTGTGTAATAATCCATCTCATATTATTGTTGTTGTAGTGGTTTACTAACCTTGCTTGGAAGCAGGCTAAACGTGGTCAGATGAGCTTAAGGGGCTTGCAAAAAAGTTGGGGCTGAGACTCCCTGCACGCAGGACATACATTATGTATACCGGGGTAAAGGTTTAATATACAACAATATCCAGATCTAAGTTGCGCTAGTATGAACTCCCTGGGCAAGCCGGGCTTTTCATCTGCAATAAGTGAGAACACCATTTACTGGAAGGGAGTTCATTAAGATAAGTTGACGTCATTCAAAACCGGTCGGTAAGCTATGCTATTCAGCATTTGTTGTAGGCGATGCTAAAAAGAGTACTTAAGGACAAGTACTCCCTTTCTCCTTTGTGCCAGGATGGTGGTTCAGCTTCTAGTAAGTATCTCTTGAGGGTGTTTTCAACAAAATATTTTGCTGCTTAACTTGAAGCTATATTCTGCGCTGTGCCAATGATGCTCTGATGATATCAGAAACTTTCCTATCATGCTCCTAAGGGTGCTCTTACGACCGCCGTTTCTACGCATCGAAAGTGTCCCAGAGCGTTCTAACCATGTTTAGGTCAGCAAGTAACATTAGTATAATCTAGCTCCTTCTGCTTCCTGTGAAAACCCTGTACATCCATCTACTATGAATTCTTGCCGTCAACGAGTTGGAAAGTTGTATTTTTCATTCCACTTTCAGTTAGCTTCAACTGACACTGTACAGTATGAAGATAAGTCGCTCAGAGCTGTCAGGGGATAAGCTTTTTCGAGCATTTTGCATAAGTTATAAAGCATCAATCATACATAAATACGTATATATACTCAGCGAATACAACGAATAATTACGAGAACGAAAATGGTCAACATGAATATTGCAATCGATATACGAAAATTGCAGACTAAGAAAAATGTAATACAAATATATAAAGAGAATCAGGAAGAGGATAGAAAGTAGCACAAACAAAATATCGCCAAAAATTTTTTTTTCATTGTATCAACTTTGATCCAGAGTGTGTCGAGTTAAAATAGGTTTGAATTTTTTTTTTTGGAAATTTTTTGGAATTTTTTTTGTTTTTAAATTTTATTTTTTTGTGTTTTTTGCAAAACGCTCGCATGCCTGCCACGTGCGTTAATTCGCCTTTTGAGTGAGGAAATAAATGATTTTCACGCTGTGTGACGTCTAGCGTATGATGCGTGTCACATGCACGCCCCTACGTAACACACATGCATACATGCATGCAAGTACTTGCTTATATACAACATATCGCTTTCCTATCTACACCCGCATTTTTTACGTCTCTTTTTTTGCGCATTTTCTTAGGTGTTGCCTGTCCATCATGCACATCACTATCCTTTTGACATATTTCCGTGGCACATTCGTCATTCGTGATATTTTCGCACCTTCGCCGTGGCACCACCTAGTTGTCTCCACGCCAAGCGCCACACTTGCCAATGGATACAATTTATTTGTTGTTTCCCGAGAATAATAAAAGTGCGTTGAAGAAAAAAAGGCAGGAAAGCAGGAAGACCCAACAATTAACACCAGTGACAGTGTGACTCAGTTCGCTCATTGCACTCATTTCATACCGACAATAGACAAACAGGCGTTTGGTACGGCGCGTCCAACTTTTAGTTCAATATTACCTTCATCATCATCATCATCATTATCATTATCATCATGATATACCTTATGGACAGAAGGCCACCTGCTGTGTTTAACAATGAGGCAATAGCGCGACAGGAGAGCGTGAAAATTCAATTGTCTGTTTATTTACGCGACTACAATGACGGCTCCGTTGACGCTTTGGGGTTGTGGTCTTTTTTGATTTGGCGCACGTAACGCTAACGAATGTGCTGATTACGCGACGCAAATATACTCGGCAATGCGTTATTTGCACTCATACAGTATATATGTATGTATGTACATAGCCACATAGGTGCACAGCTGACGAGCCTACCCCACCGCAGTCTGAATGGGGCGCCTTTTATTTATCACGTTTCGTCTGTCGACCGCAGCACATTCAAACCAATTTATTATATTAGTTTATAAACGCTGTTGGTGGTTGGCGTTCAATAACACAAATGGTAGAGCGAAAGGAAAAAAAAATACCGCGACAAGTGGAAAACAATATATGGGCATTTATTTACTAGAAGAATGTATGTAAATTTGATAAATAATTATCTTTGTAGGGGGTGTTTTTGTGATGTTTTTGTTTTGTATTGTTATTATATTTCCCTTTTCAAATCGTTAGCCAGCTATTTTTTACAGTATTTTAGACCATTTAGGTTGCCATATTGAGCCAAAAATAAGCTTTTTTCCTCAAAACCCTAATAGGAGTGCTGCTCAAGGCCATTTGCGAAGCATTTAGCTGTAATTAAGGAACAAATGTTTGAAGAAAAAATATTTAAAGAGATAAAAAAGGGTTATAAATATTAACAAAAAATAAAAACAAAAGAGATTGTGGATCCTCCAATATTCTTTTGGCTTAAAATTTGATTTTTATGCCAAGTCAGTAAAATAGCAAATAAAACGTGAATTTTTAGACGTGTGATTTTCAAAAAGAAATAAAGCGCATAAAACTCAATTTTATGGCCAAGACTTTAGCTCTACTAAAAACATAAGGATTTGCTATTATGTTTAAAAACCGATTTCAGGCAAGTAGCCGCCGCGGCTCGCTCTAATAGATTTTAATGTATTTTCTCTTTGCTTCACTTTTCTCAGCCATTGGTCCCATATATCAGCAATATCACGCCGAATATGTTTTTATCTGCGTAGACAAGCGACTTTACATAACACCACAAAAAATAGCCCGGCGGTACCATATCACACGATTTTGGAAGCCGCACGTGAGATATTGCCCTCAGTAAAAGTTTCTTTCTATAAATTAATTACTTCGTTGGCTGCATGGTATGCAATGTCGATCGTCCACATCGACATTCTCCAATTCATTTATAAATAGCTTTTGACCAGTTCGTATTTTTTTTTCTAGTTTAGCGCCATTTTGATAGCATTTTACTACCATCAATAATTATGATAAAAAATTTTGAAAATTTAGGTCGTTTAAAAAATGTTTTTTAAAAGAACTCTGAAAAAACTTTGTTGGATTGCAAAGGTGTCGTTGATAATCTCCAATTCGCTTTTCTTTACATTTGTAAATTTTATTCCATTTTTTTTTATTTTCCTGTTGTCTAGT